GACCCCACCTGTGCATGAATTCGTGCACCAGGCCTCTAGTTGAAATATAATAATATTACTATCCAAAATTTATTGAGCTCTTTTGAGCTAAGCTGTTTATATAGAGTTCATTGTTGCCATCACTGTGACTTTATGAAGTGATGGTACTATTATTACGTCTCTCCTCTTTTTTGCCAAAAACTCAGAGATCTTTATTCATTACAAGATCTTTTTAAAAAATCAACAAACTTTAGTTTCTTTGTTCTTACTTGTATACATGTCAACTTGAGCTGTAACATGTCCCCAGAAATTATGATCTGAAGTTGGATTTTTAGAATTCATTTTTCTTACCTTAGTCTTTGAACTTGGATTTATAATATGTTAGAAAGAAAAATATTAATTTTTCTCTTTTTTCCTTGTCTTGCTTCCTGTCTCTCTGGTACTTCGTTGGAGTAAGATGTAAATTGCCCAGATTTTAAGTGTACATCTCAGTAACCTTCTACATATGTAGTTATTTCCAGATCAAGATAGTGTGCTCATTTTATTAGTAGGAACATTGAGGTACAAAGAAGTTATATAAGTGCCTGAGCCAGCATAGGAACCAGTCCCAGGCTGTCTGGCTGCAGAACCAAGCTGCGGCTTTTTTGGAAGTCAGTTTGTGTTCACTGTCTCCAGTATGTGACTCATGTCCACGACCCCCTTTTCCCACTAGAACCCAGCCTGGAGCCAAACCTGTATACCTCACTAAAACGTAACTAAATGGACCTTTATTTTTTTTAAAATATATTTGATTGATTTTTTACAGAGAGGAAGGGAGAGGGATAGAGAGTTAGAAACATCGATGAGAGAGAAACATCGATCAGCTGCCTCCTGCACACCCCCTACTGGGGATGTGCCCGCAACCAAGGTCCTGGGACCCTACCAGAATCGAACCTGGGACCTTTCAGTTTGCAGGCCGACGCTCTATCCACTGAGCCAAACCGGTTACAGCCTAAGCGGACCTTTAAAGTCTTTCAGTCACTCTGAAAGTAAATAATTTCAGGTCTGGTGAGGACATTGTAATTGAAGTCAAGCTCCCAATGGGTTTTCTCTCCTCCTCTTCCCAAGCGCCATGTCTGAAATCATTTGTTCTTTTAATAATAAAGTTTGAGAATTGGAGAAGCTGCTCCTATGGAAGGTTATTAGATTTTAAATCGGTTATGGGAGGTCAGATCTAACTGGATTTTTCGAGTGTATGTTCATTTGCTCAAAGAGTTGTACGCCTGAGTTTCCATTGAAAATTTAAAACTGTTTGTATGTGAAAATGGAAAGATAAACTTTTTTTACTTTGAAATAATTTTTTTAAGTTTGCAGAAGTGTTGCAAAAGATAGTACAGAGTTCCATCTACCCTTCATCCAGTTTTCCTCCCCATTGTTAACAGCTCACATTACCACAGTAAATGTGTCAACACTAAAAAACCAGCACTGGTGCATTGCTGTTACCTAAACTCCAGGCTTTATCTGGATTTCATTGGTTTTTCCACTCGTGTCCTTTTTCTATTCCAGGACCCAATGCAAGATACCACATGGCATTTAGTCTGGATTATTTTTAAAGTGGAAGGAAATAGATCATGCAATCTGCCCTCATGGCATTGCGAAAGCCACTCGGTGCCCATAATGGATTTAAAGGAGCTACTGAATGTAGGAGATGAGTAAAGTGTGGATTTCTGCAGCTTAGTATCAACGCCATTGCCTTTCCAAAATCTAGTTCTTCAAATAGAAAAAAATTAAAATAAATAAAATCCAGTTCTGTAGCTAAGTTAAACACCCAGAGATATGCTCATTGTTGGAAGTGGAAATTACTTTTGCCCTCCTGTGTACATCAGTTTGTGTAAACTCTCTTGTGCCATGCTCCAGGGGGCAGGAAATAATGGTCCGTCTCCAAGCTTTCTTCTTCAAATCCCCACTGGAGGGTATTTTTTCCATTTATTTCTAGAGAGAGTGGGAGGAAGGGGAGAGAGAGAGAAACATCGACGTGAGATACAACAATTGATTGCCTCCCGCATGTGCCCCTACTGGGGCTGGGGAACCTGCAACCGAGATACATGCCCTAGACCAGGAATCGAACCCGTGACGGTCTAACCACTGAGCAAAACCAGCCAGGGCCATCTCAAAGCTTTTCAGTCTCACGATGGCGCCTGGTGCTCTCCTGGAGGAAGGGAGACTGTACAGAGGGCAGCCGCTGCCCCAACGTGGGGGATGGCTCAGAGGGGGACTTGCTCTCACTGTTTTGTGTATTGACCCCAAATAAGAGATTATTAAGTGGGTCCAGGACAAAGGGAGGAGTGGTCAGTTCCTTCAATTCTCCGTTTTCTTACCATCATGCATTTCGTGATATCTCCTCTCAACAGCACAGATGTGAAAGGGGCTCAGGCGAGCTGTCTTCCAGGCTAATGCTTCTTAACTCTATCGTACAGATAAGTCTCCGGACAGCTGTTAACGGGCAGCTCTGATTCAGGAGGCTTAGGGAGGGGCTGAGCTCCGGTTTTCTTACGGGCTCCCCATGCTGCTGGTCACCCACCTGTAAAGTATCTGGAGGGATTTTTTTTTTCTGTTTCTCTTCAGAATGTGCTTTTGACCTTGAACAAGGATGGCAGAACCCATTAAAAAGGAATCTGGCCCTGACTGGTTTGGCTCAGTGGATAGAGTGTCAGCCTGCGGACTGAGGGGTCCCAGGTTTGATTCTGGTCAAGGGCATGTACCTTGGTTGCGGGCACACCCTCAGTGGGGCGTGTGCAGGAGGCAGCTGATTGATGTTTCTCTCTCATCGATGTTTCTCTCTCTCTATCCCTCTCCCTTCTTCTCTGTAAAAAATCAATAAAATATTAAAAAATAAAATAAAAAGGAATCTGGTGAAACACCCCTGAAACATATTAGCTGATACTAGAAGTTCCCTTTCTGAGATGGGGGTTGGTAAGAAAGTAGATGAATGGCCAAGCTGTTTTGGTTTGAATCCCCCAGGCCTGCAATACCCAACTGATAATCAGTTCGTACGACGGCTCAGAGAACTGCAGGAATCGGCCGCCGTAGAGAAGATCCCGCTGATCCCGTCCACCCCAGAGGAGATGAGCGAGATGCTGCAGCTCTGCTCCTACGTCCGCTTCAAGGTGCCCCAGCAGGTATGGGACCTCAGCAGCAGCACGGTGCCTGCCTCCTGCCAGGGGTGCACTGGCCAGCACAGCTCCCTTCGTGCACCCTCCTCCCTGCACTTACCTGTCTATTCACTCAACAAGCGTCTGTACCGTGGCCGTGATGTGTCAGGCCGTGATGTGTGGGGCACCGTGGCGAATGAATAAGACAGAAGAGGTTCCTGGGTGGACACAAGCTAGTGGGGAGGCAGACAATCAACAAGTCGACAGATTCTTAAAAATTATAGTAAGTTTTCTAGGGGAAATGAAGATGGTGCCGTGAATAAAAACAGGGAGGCAGCAGAATTGGATTGGATAAGCCTCTTTGAAGGAATAGCATGTTCAGAGTTAGAAAAAATATAGGCAAGTTCAAGACACTAAAAGGGGCCCTGGGTGACCGGAGCCCAGAGGATGAGGGAGAGAATGCGATGGATGAGGTTGGAAAGGGAGGCAGGGGCTCAACCAGAGATTCTCAATTTTAAAAAATCTCAAGACCACTTTATACTTTCAGAAATTATTGAGAACCCCAAAGAGTGTTCATTGGTGAAAGTTATAACTGTTGATATTTACCATGTTAGAAATTGAAAGTCATAAAAACTTAAAACACAAGAATATAGATGCACTCCTTTCATTAGCCACCAGAGTGACATTGTTCCTTGTTCTGTGGGCCCTGAAAATCAGTCTGCTTTTGAGAAAGTCAAAGCGAAAAAGGCAAATAACATGTAGTATTATTATGAAAATAGTTTAACCTCATGGACTCCCCAAATCCACTTTGAGAACCACTGGGCTAGATCATGTAGCACTGGATGGGTTATGGGAAGGAGTCTGGGTTTCTCTAAGTAGGATCGGAGAACCCCTGAAGGATTGTAGGGGGTACAGACAGAAGCAGGGAAAGCCACGAGGGTGCTGATGTGGCTCAAAGATGATAGCGGTGTGGACGAGGGTGGCAGCAGTGGAGACAGATCTGAAATGCTTTGGGAGGAAGAACAGAGGACTTACCAGCAAATTGGATGTGGACGATGAGGGAAAGTGGGGAGTCACAGGTGACTTCCGGTAGTTGAGTTGGATAAAGGCAGCATTTCCTGAATAGGGGAAGGAGAGGGAGGGTGCGTTTAGGGGACAAGCTAACAGCTCCATTTTGGGTGCCTTAAGTTTAAGCTGCCTGTGAGGCCTCCAAGAAGTGAGGCCTCCAAGTGCAGATGTCAAGCAGGCAGGTGTTGCTGAGGGAAGTCTGTTTGGAGCTAGACAATTAAAGCCACAGCCGATGATTATATTAAAGGACTTGGGTCTGCATGGAGTCATCTGAGGAAAGAATAGAAAACCAAGAGAGGAGAGTCCAGGGCGGAGGCTTCATAACAGCAGATGATCTCCCTCTGTTGTAAGAGCTGGACCCTGCCTCAGGGTGGATGGGTCCTCGTAGGAGGTGAGAGAATGGGCTCTATTCAGAGGTTGTGAGCATGACTCAGTTATTGGGTGTATCCTGTCTCTGAGGAAGCACCCAGACTCTGTCCTATATTTTATCCCTGAAAATCCTTTTTTTAAAAAAATATTTTTATTGATTTCAGAGAGGAAGGGAGAGGGAGAGAGAGATAGAAACATCAATGATGAGAAATATTGATCAGCTGCCTCCTGCACGCCCCCTACTGGGGATCAAGCCCGCAACCTGGGGCATGTGCCCTGACCGGGAATCAAACCGTGACCTCCTGGTTCATAGGTCGATACTCAACCCCTGAACCACACCAGTCGGGCCCTGAATCCTTTTTAGTAGTGAAGCTGTGCTGATCCCCTCTAGGCACCGATCTCTTCCCCCAATAGAGTGGCCAAACAGTTTTAGAAAATTCCAAGTTTTGAGTTGTCAGGGAGATGAAAATGCCAGGAGAAAATAAATGGCAGCTCCAAAGTTTTCCCCTCGTAGGAGAGAAGGAGCAACCAAGCACCAGTGTTATGACTGTCTATCTGTCTGTCTGTCTGTCTGTCTGTTTGTGTCTTGCAGTCTAAACTCTGTAAGATCAGGGACTTTGTCTTAATTTGCTGCTCTATCCTCAGCTTTTGGCACAATACTTGCATGAAATAGGTCTTAGGTGTAGATTGAATGAGTCAGTGGATGCAAGGATGCCTGGATAACGCAGGAATGGAGCATGGAGGTGTGGGTAGATGCATGATAGATGGATTCATGAAATGGTGTATTCACATGCATAGATGATTTAGGATGCAGGATAGGTGGATGGCTGGATGCTTGATTGGCTGGGTGGGAGGATGTCTAGGAATGCAGGATGGAGAGTAGATGGATAGGTGGATGCATTAGTAGACATATGCACATATGATTTAGAGATGCAGGATGGGTGGATGGATAGGTAGGTGGAGCAGAGGTGGAGGATGGACGGGTGGATGCCCGATGGATATGATGCATGGGTGCATATAGATAGAGCAAAGAAAATGTCTGATGCTGAGCACAGTGTGTTGACAGCTTGCCATTGGCTCACCTCTGGACTTGCACTCTGGTCCTGTTAGGTTCTAGTCGTGTTCCAGGAGTTGGTTTAGTCCATAGCAGTTATGGCTGATTTTCCCACTTCAGTCCATGCGCAGGACTCCTGAGAGTGCATTTAAGAGGTTCAGACCATTCCCAGGAAGATGAGAGGAGTGGTGGCTGCTAATGTGAACCTAGGACCTACCTCAAGAGCCCCGAGGCAGGGGAAGTGGGGGCTGTGTTCCTTCCGGCCATGCACCTCTCAGTCAGTGTCTGGGTCCAGGAGATCCACAGCTGCTGCAGCCTTCACAGACCTCAGCAGGGGAGGCCAAGACAACGTTGAGCAATAAACAAGGGACTCTGCACCCTCCCAGATTTCCCCAGTAGTTTCTTTCTTTCTTCCTTTCTTCCTTCCTTCCTTCCTTCCTTCCTTCCTTCCTTCCTTCCTTCCTTCCTTCCTTCCTCTCTCTCTCTCTCTCT